CTCAGTACCCCCACGCTCAGCACCCCCAGACTCCTCACGCCCAGGCTCAGCACCTCCAGTCCCCGCACCCCCAGGCTCCGCACCTCCAGGCTCCGCACCCCCAGGCTCAGCACCCCCAGGCTCAGCACCCCAAGGCTCAGCACCCCCAGAAGCAGCACCCCGAGCAGGACCTGAGTCACCAGTGACCTCAACCGGCGCAGTCAAGGGAGGAGGGTCTACCTGAGACACACCTGAAGGAGCAGGACCGGGAGCGGGGAGGGGGTCTACCTGGGTAGCACCTGGAGCGAGGAAGAGCGGCGGGGGGGGGAGAGGAGCAGTGCGGTAGGGGAAGAGACGGTAAAAGGGAACCGACTCGTCGAACGTGACGTCCTGAGAGGGGAAGACACGGCGCGAGGAGGGGTGGTAAAACTGCCAACCAGGCGCGTCACGGACAAAGCCAAGGAAGACACAGGGAACAGCGCGGGCGGAGAGCTTGTCCGCGGTGGTATCGCGGACAAAGGCACGAGCACCCCAGACCCGGAAACGCGACGCATTGCCAACCTTCCCCGTCCACAGCAGCGTGGGCGAGGTCTCCGGCAAGGAGACACGGGGCCAGAGGTTGAGCTGATGCGCGGCATACCGGACCGCAAACGGCCACAGAAAATGGGGGGCAGCCGCATGGATCATGGAGGTGCGAGCGACCTCCATGACTATGCCAATGCGGCGCTCAGCAACCCCATTCTGCTGCGGAGAGGCCGAAAGCGTGAACTTCTGGCGGATGCCGTGCTCCGCACAGAAGGCTGCCAAGAGGTCGGAGGAAAACTCCCCACCTCTGTCAGAGTGCAGACGCAGGACGGGAAACTCCGTCCCGAACCGCTCGCGGAGCTAGAGACGAGCAGCGTGGATCCAAGGGATCAAAACATCAGGGACCTCACCCTTGGTGCGCAAGGGGAAGACCGTGGTGTAACGCGTGTAGTCGCCGACGACCAGCAGGAAGTACCGCTCGTGGCCCTGTCCATGGACGCGGGCTGGGCCCCACACGTCCAAGTGGAGAGTCTGCAGGGGAGCCTCTGTGGGAGGGAACGAGGAGGAGTGAGGAGCGGCGCGCTGCCGCCCCTCGACACAGGGAAGACAGGGAGGAGCAGGCGAGGGTGGGAGGGGAGGGAGAACCCGGGGAAGACCAGAGACAAGGACACGGCGATGCATGCTGCGAAGGCGCTGCACCGAGGGGTGACCAAGGCGGTGGTGCCAAAGGAGGGTTTGGTGCGACAAGGCGCGACATGAGCAGGGGGCCGACAACTGACCTGACGCAGACGCAGACGCAGCTACCTGAGGGGACTCAGTGGTCATTGTGTACAGGCCCGACCCCGGCTGCCGAGTGAAGGTAGCCAGGTGACGACCCGTGTGAGCACACGTGCAGTGCGTCACACGCTCGTAGGCAGGGGTGAACTGGTGAACACCCGCGTCCTGGAGCGCAGAACCCGCCACCAAGTTCGTAGAGAACGAGGGGAGGTAAAGACCCGATAGTGTGCCGGACGGGACAGCAGGACAAGGGAGGACAGTGGTGGAGGTCGCACGGACTGGACCCCCAGAGGGGTCTGCCAGGGAGACTGCAACCGGCCGACTGAGCGGCGTAAGGGTGGTGCTGAGAGACTTGCGCGGACGTCGCTGGAGCTGCATCTGGCCACCGCCAGTAGCAGCAGTAGTAGGAGTAGCAGCAGTAAGAGCAGTAGCAGCAGTATCAGCAGTAGCAGCAGTAGCAGCAGTAGTAGCGCGGCCACCCCTACAACCCCAACCAGCGTACCACTCACAAAGCTGCTGGGGCGTGAGGGACTCACGTGGACGTCGCTGGAGCTGCACCTGGCCACCGCCAGTAGCAGCAACAGCAGTTGTAGCAGCAGCGTGGGCAGGGCAGGCGCGGCAGGCAGGCAGGCCGGCAGGCAGGCAGGCAGACAGGCAGGCAGGCAGGCGGGCAGACAGGCAGGCAGGCAGGCAGGCTGAGGGCGCGGTAGTGCGCGAATAAGGCAGGTGCTCACTAGTGGTGGGAAGGGCCGGCGTCGGCGGGTGGCTGCACGGGGTCCAGGGGCGGCGTCACGGGGTCCAGGGGCGGCTGCACCAGGGGCGGCTGCTGTAGGAGCCAGGGGCAGCTGCTCTGGGTCCAGGGGCGGCTGCACCAGGGGCAGCTGCTGTAGGAGCCAGGGGCGGCTGCTCTGGGTCCAGGGGCGGCTGCACCAGGGGCGGCTGCTGCAAGGGCCAGGGGCGGCTGCTCTGGGTCGAGGGGCAGCTGCTCGAGGGTCCAGGGGCGGCTGCACCAGGATCGGCTGCTGTAGGAGCCAGGGGCGGCTGCTCTGGGTCCAGGGGCGGCTGCACCAGGGGCGGCTGCTGTAGGAGCCAGGGGCGGCTGCTCTGGGTCCAGGGGCGGCTGCACCAGGGGCGGCTGCTGCAGGGGCCAGGGGCAGCTGCTCTGGGTTGAGGGGCAGCTGCTCGAGGGTCCAGGGGCGGCGTCACGGGGTCCAGGGGCGGCTGCACCAGGGGCGGCTGCTGTAGGAGCCAGAGGCGGCTGCTTGAGGGTCCAGGGGCAGCTGCACCAGGGGCGGCTGCTGTAGGGGCCAGGGGCGGCTGCTCCGGGTCCAGGGGCGGCTGCACTAGGGGCGGCTGCTGCAGGGGCCAGGGGCGGCTGCTCTGGGTCCGGGGGCGGCTGCTTCAGGGTCCAGGGGCGGCTGCTTAAGTGGCGCTCGCCTACGCAAGGCAGGCAGGGCACGCGCTGCTGCACACGGCTCCGGGCTGCGCGCAGTTGCTGGCTGCGCGTGGCGACGAGCTGCGTGCGGCTGTGGGCTGTGCGCGGCTGCTGCCTGTGCTTGGCGACAGGCTGCGCGCGGCTACGGGCTGCGTGCTGCGGCGGGCCGCGCGGGCGGGGCCTAAGCGGCTGGGCGCGGGCGATTTAAGCGGCGCGCGTGACGGCAGTAGGCGGCGCGGGCGGCTAACGTGGCGCGCGGGGCCGAAAACGGGCTGCGCGCGGGCTATTTAAGTGACGCGCGCGGGAAAAAAAAAATGGCTGCGCGCTTGCAGCCGAGGCGCGCGCGGGCGGCAGGCAAGGCAGGCAAGCCGTAGGTGAGGTAAAGTGATGAACGGTGGGCCCTAAACTTAAGTCCTAAAGACCTATGCTCTAGATACCATCTTAGAAGTTAGGCATGGGTGAGTTGCACTATCGAGATAATTGAGTACAAGGGAAAACCCTAAGGGGTTATACCCCACATAATCTACCCCACTACAGCCTACCCACAAATATGATATAAACATATGTTTGACAGACTGGGCCACCTTCAGGTCTGACCAATCATAATCGTTCACATATAATTGTCGCGCGTCTGTGCAGAGTCGCGATACATCGATCGATTGGGACATGCAGACCCGAGACATTTGAGGGCGACTCGGGCCAAAGGTGATTGGGACACTTTCTTTGAAATTGTCCACAGCGGAATGTACCCTTAGGCGTGGAATGCTCATGAATTGTGGTCACGAAGGGCGTATTCCTACGACCTCCTATCAAGCCACCTCCTATCAAGATTGTACCTTTTGCCCGGTAAAAGTAGAGAGAGGTTTTGGGTTTCGTAGACTTTTCAGTGTGAGCTTGATAGGAGGTCAGATTGATAGGAGGATAGGAATACGCCCTAAGTCGCCCAAGATTTTCATGATCCCCCTCTGGTGTATTATAGCTGAATGAAATACTGTCATTCATAATCAACCTCTATTTAAACATGCTCCTTTACAAATCATAAAATCATCCACAACGTTTGTGCTGTAACGAAGTCTCATGGCTGAAAGCTGGTACCGTTAGAACTAACGCCTTCTTGGACGACGGCCGACACCCTACTGTCGCAAGGAGTGTCGGAACTGACCATCGCCGCAATTCGTGGTCGCAATGATTCCTACACACCTGAACAGCGCCATGCGGTTCGCAACCAGGTCCCTCCAGAATGAGCGTCGCCAAAACTTTTGACTGCAGCACCCCCAGTAAGTTTTATTACGTTGAAGAGCGGTGCATAGTTTGTTTTAATGGGCGTAGTACGTTATATGTGAAAGTGATTTCCTCTGATGTCGGGGTTGAAGGGTACGTCGCGAAATTTGTTGACGACTCCAACGAGATTTCGTCAGCACACCAGCTCAAGGGGCGCCTCAACCTGCGGTGGCACCAACCTGACCAGGCTTGCGACCATGTGCGAGCGCAGGGCAAAAAGGAAAGCCCGACCGGACGACACGACGAGATTCTTTGCGCGGGAAACGCGCGGAGCGAAAGGGGGGGAAGAGGATGGCTGGATGGACGAATTGGTGGGTAAGGGGGGCGCATTTCCCCCAAACACCTGCAGAACCCTTCCGCAGCATAGCGGAGCACACCTGCTCTGCTCCCCCGACCAGCTGGGGACGAGAAAGAGGCATTGGGGTGGATGGATGGGGTTGATGTTGTGGAGCAGCACTCGCCAGTTCCATTCCATTCCATCCCCTGCTCGAGCGTTTCTGGACGGCTGTGCGGGGCACAACCATCGCCTCAACACGGCATCCTCTCTCTGGGCTAGACTTCATGCCACAGCAGAAATATTCTCGTCATTAGATTTCTGTTTTCGCATCCACGTCATGCCTTGGGCCTCGCAGTTTTGACCGAGAACCACGGTTTCGCCAGACTGTGGTAACTGAACGATAATCTACCCATATAGATTGCCGTATTTCTCGTGACGTAAGTATATGCGTCTATTTGCTCCATCCAGTTAGGACCGCTTAGGGCGCTTCCCTAAACAGTCGATGTTCGTTCTTTGTTCCAAGTGACACCGCGTAGGTTAGCCGAGCTTCTCAACCATTCCTTACTAGTAGTTTCGCATCTCCTACGCGAATCCCGCTTGAACCCCGGAAGCACGCAGGCAGTTCGCATCGGAACCATGGCGCGTTCCCTCCTCGCCATCCTCCTGTGCCTCACCCTCGCGACCTCCGCCCTCGCCCGCACGTACGACCGCCCCCACTTGCACCGCATGCACGCCCGCCGCGGCCTGCGCCACATGCGTGACCCAGCGGCTGGCTCGCGGCGCCGCCTCTTCTCCTCCGCGTTCGGCGACGAAGCTTCCTCCAGCAACCCTGACGAAGACTACATCGGATTCGACGATTTCGTCTCCGGGCCGACCGCTCCCGCTTCCGCGCAGCTCAAGGCATTGTTGGATATTAAAGCCGCCTGGAAGAGCGGCTTCTACGCAGCTTCCACGTGGAAGGAGGGCAGTACGGACACATCCGCGTGGGAGGGCCTCGATATTGACGACTCTGGGAATGTCGTCAGCATGCGGCTGGTCTCCGCGGGCGTCGAAGGCCCGCTGCCCGCGGCATTCGCTGCACTGACGGCCCTCACGTCTCTAGATCTCCGCCAAAATAAGCTGACCGGCGAGATTCCCCGCGGTGTTTTTTCCAAGATGCCGTACCTCAAGGAGTTTTACGTAGCCGATAACAAGCTCTCGGGGCTGTTTCCGTGGAGACAAATATTCGGGCAGGCGAATTCCCCGCTGCAAATGTTCGAAATCGACGGCAACGCTTTCACTGGTGGCATTCCCAACACCCTCTTCCAGAACTCGCCGAATCTCCAAACTTTCACAGCTAGCGGCAACAAGTTCACCGGGCAGATGCCTACTGGTTTGTCGGGCTGCCCGCTTCTTTCGGTCATCGATTTGTCGGACAACCAGCTGACCGGCCCAATTCCGTCCGCGTTTGGCCGGATGGACGGGCTCGAAGTGTTCGACGTCGGCAACAACCTGCTGACCGGTTACCTGCCGGCAACCTTCGGACTCTCTGCAACTCTCATGAATTTCGATGTTAGCAACAACAAGCTGAGCGGTTACCTCCCCGCATCGCTGGCCAATCTCGGCCAATCGCTGCGGGCCTTCAAAGTGGCGAACAACTACTTTACTGGCGTTTTGCCCAAGTTCCCAAACCTCGGGAGGGGATGCGGCCCCAAGGGCTCCGACGCTGTTTCCTGTTACAGGTTCTCAAGCATCATTGATTTGAGCAACAACTACTTTTTCGGAAAAGATGAGATGACCATCCAGGCGGCCAATTGGACAGGCACGCCCAAGACCGCCGTAATCTGCCCAGGCAAAGACTTTCCGAATGACATTTCTGTTCAGGGAAATTGCTTGGTGTCCACTGCGACCTGCACAGCCAAGTCGCAGAGGGCTGCTGCGCAATGCACTGCGTTCTGTGGGACAGGCGCAGGTTCTCCTCAGTGCGGAGGCGGGGGTGTCTGTTTCTGGGATGCAGCTAGTGGTAAGGCGGCATGCCGGTGCAAGGAGGGCTTCGTGGTTTCTGCTGATGGCATGACTTGCACCAAGCCAGCTGTTGCATGAGATGGGCTGCAGAGGTCTAAAGGTGATGCAGTGTAGCGATATGCTGGCTGACGAATACTCCTTGCAGGATAATGAGCGAGAAGGTGCAGCACCATTGTATGGTTATTGTGTTTCTGTTTGCATGCTGGGTGTAAGGCCTTTGACTGTGGGTGTGACGTGGTGCTTACGTCCTGTATTGTGGTTAGAGGTGTGTTTGCTAAGCTCGGGGGGTGCTGCTGATTTCTTTATTGCACTTACCTTGTAAATCCATCAACTTCTTTAAAGCAACAGTATACTTTTGCAAGCGGGGGTTTTAAAACCTTAGGAACTTGAAAAACTGGTTACGCGTTTACAAACCCAACCCCCCCTGTTGAGAGGCGAAGGAGTCCCCAAACGCCCCACGTCCGGCTCCCCGCACTCACAGTTCAAAACTTAGGAATTGCAAAAGGAAACTGAAACTGCGGTACCGTAGTGAGAGGATAGCCCACACGCTCCTACTTCGGTAGGTTATTCCGTGTAGACTAGGCAACATTGTAACCTAACAGCTAGATTTAGGGACAGAATCTGTTACTGAACCGCGTAACGCTGTTTGCGCGCATGCGCGGACAAATCGCCACGCCTACGCACTCGCTTAGGCCACACCACCTTAGACAAGACCGCCCCACGCCTCCTCTCGCTGCCTCACCGCGAGGCCATTGGCGACAGCGCCTCCCCTCCCCACAAAGTCCCGTTTAGCCTCGACGCGCTAGCATCTGCATCCCATCCCTTCCTCCACTCCTAGCTCGCCGTCCGCCGTTCGCCGCGCGCGATTGGGTACGTCATCCCCCCTTCCCGCCACGCCATCTCCCCTTCCCGCCACGCCTTCTCCCCTTCCGGGCACGCCCTTGTTTCCTCCCATGCACGCCCTCATTCCAGAGCACTGAATTTCCCTTTCCGCAACCTCATTTCCGCCCGAAATCCCCTTTTCCGCAACCTCTCGCCTTACCCATTCCTGCTCCTATTGCCTCCCGGTTCAAATTCTTCTTTCGCCTCCCCGCGCGTGCTCCTCTCGCATCCCCTCGCTCTCCTCTCGCTTTCCCCGCCCGGCCTCCTCACGCCTCCCCGCGCGCTCGACTCTCGCCTCCAAGCGCGGCCTCTTCTCGCCTTGCCGCGCGTTCTCCTCTCGCCTCCCCGCGCCTGCTCTTTTTCGCCTCCCCGCGCCTGCTCTTCTCGCCTCCCCGCACCTGCTCCTCTCGCCTCCCCGCGCGCGCGATTTTCGCCTCCCCGCGCTCTCCTCTCGCCTCCCCGCGCGTCCCACCTCCACACGTGTCCTCCTCTCGCCTTCCCGCACATGCGCATCTAGCCTGCGTCGTCGGCTTCACCCTGCCTCCCCTCGCTGCCTCTCCGCGTCTCGCGGCGGCCTCCCAAAGCGAGCTGCACTCGAATAAGGCTCTTCTCCTCCTCTCACCACGCCTTCTCCTCCTCTCACCACGCCTTCTCCTCCTCTCACCACGCCTTCTCCTCCTCTCACCACGCCTTCTCCTCCTCTCACCACGCCTTCTCCTCCTCTCACCACGCCTTCTCCTCCTCTCACCACGCCTTCTCCTCTCACCACGCCTTCTCCTCCTCTCACCACGCCTTCTCCTCCTCTCACCATGCCTTCTCCTCCTCCCGCCACCCCCTCTCCTCCTCCCACTATGCCTTCTCCCCCTCCCGCCGTGCCCTATCGTCCTCACGCCATGCCTTCTCCTCCTCTCGCCATGCCTTCTCCTCTCGCCATGCCTTCTCCTCCTCTCACCATGCCTTCTCCTCCTCTCACCACGCCTTCTCCTCCTCCCACCATGCCTTCTCCTCATCCCACCATGCCTCCTCCCCCTCCCGCCGTGCCTTCTCGTCCTCTTGCCACTCCTCCTCTCCTGCTTCCCACCATTTCCCCGCCTGCTTCCCCTATTTTCCCCCTCTGCTCCTCTTTCCCCATCTTCTCAACTTTCCCACCTCCGCTCTTTTTTCCCCTCTGCTTCTCTTCTCCCCCTCTTCTCCTCTTTTCCCTCACTGCTCCTCTTTCCCCCCTGTGCTCCTCTTTCCCCCCCCTACTCCACTTTCCCCCTCTGCTCCTCTTTCCCTCTCTGCTCCTCTTTTTCCCGTCTGCTCCTCTTGTCCCCCTCGGCTCATCTTTCCCCCCTCTGCTCATCCTTTTCCTTACTGCACCTCTTTCCACCCACTGCTCCTCTTTTCCCCCTCTGCTCCCGTTTCCCCCCCCCCGCTCTCAGTTTTCCCCCCCTACTCCCCTTACCCTCTCTGATCCTCTTTTCCCCCTCAAATCCTCCTTCCCATCCGCACCTCCCCCGTCCCCTCTTATTCCTCTCCCTTCCCCGCCAGCTCACTCACCCCTTTCTTCTTTTGCTTCTCAGCCGCCAGTGAACCCGCGGGCTCCGGTTCTTTAGTTGTTCTGCCTGATATTCTCTACCCTTTACAACACAGCTCTTCTCTCCACACCATGCTCGTCATGCCATATTCCCTTCCCGCCATGCCATTTTCCCTGGCGGTGAAGGCCGTGAGAGTGCTCTGCCTACAGGTGGCTGATGCTTTCTCTCGATCGACATGGCGCAAGGTGAGGGGTGGAGGTAGTGGGCGGGGGACGGGAGAAGTGGGGAGGGGGGGTGGGAAGGGGACAGGCAAGGGCCAAGCAAAGAGGAAGGTAGGGAGGAGAATTTGAAGTGCAATGAGGCTGCTGTCCATGTGCTCCCTCGTGCTCGTCTCCAACATGCAGAGCCCCATCCTTGCCTTGCCGTCCCCAACCCCACCCTTCCCACCCAGGTGCCATGAAAAGCCACGCTCATCTTTCTTACTTCCCATTCTTACGTCCCATCTCCCCTCCCTCCCTTCCTATCTCCTTCCCTCCCTGCCCTTCCCTTTCTGCCCTACCCTTCCTGCAATTCTTACCCCTCACATACTTCCATTCCTTCGTTTTTTTCCACATCCCTGCCTTCGCATCTCACATCCCTGCCTTCCCATCTCACATCCCTGCCTTCCCTACTCACATCCCTGCCTTTTTTCCTCACATCCCTGCCTTCCCTCCCATAGGTTTGGGGCCCCACTATATACCGTTGCGACACCACGTGCCGTACAGCGAGTATGCATACGCAAAGCTGCAGGTTTTGCATGCAATCCTGCTACACACAGGGCAAAGCCAGGCCCGGGCAATTTTGGCGGCATGAAGGGAGGAGCAGCAGGTCCAAGAATTTGGAGGGAATGAAGGCGACACAAAGAGTAGTGGAAGGTGCTGTCTTGTATGGTGTCTTGCGATGATTTTATCATGTGTACATACTCCTCTCAAGCTTCTCTTCTCTACATCAATGATGTGATGTGCCCATTTGAAAGAACAGAGGTCACATGACAACCATTGGATTCCACTACCATTATTCAGAATGTAAATTATTTGTAATACCATGCTATGGCTAGATACATTGAAGGAATACACATTGTAGACTGAGATTACTACTTTATTGTGCTCCATGCTGCACAGAGCAGATATCGAGTAAAGATGATATGGAAATCCGGAGGACAGAGTACAAGCGTGCAGGAAGAGCGTGTTGGGGGGGGGTAAGGGGGTGGAGACGAACAAGGGCAAGCAGGTCGGGAGACAAAGCGTAAGGGGTGAAAAACTCAGAGAAAGGAGGGTGATAACATAGGAAACAACGGGGGAAGGAGGGTTAGGGGAGAACTGTGGGCAAGACGCAATCGAAGAGAAAGCATGCAAAGGAGAAGCAGGGATGCTAATGAAGGGAAAGAGAGGGAGAAACGAGGGGAAGCAGAGGGCGAAAAGATGAGAAGAGAGGCAATGAGAGGGAGCACGGGAGGTGATGAGAGGGAGCAGGGGAGGTGATGAGAGGGAGCAGGGGAGGTGATGAGAGGGAGCAGGGGAGGTGATGAGAGGGAGCAGGGGAGGTGATGAGAGGGAGCAGGGGAGGTAATGAGAGGGAGCAGGGGAGGTGATGAGAGAGAGCAGGGGAGGTAATGAGAGGGAGCAGGGGAGGTGATGAGAGGGAGCAGGGGAGGTAATGAGAGGGAGCAGGGGAAGTAATGAGAGGGAGCAGGGGAGGTGATGAGAGGGAGCAGGGGATGTAATAAGAGGGAGCAGGGGAGGTGATGAGAGGGAGCAGGGGAGGTAATAAGAGGGAGCAGGGGAGGTAATGAGAGGGAGCAGGGGAGGTGATGAGAGGGAGCAGGGGAGGTAATGAGAGGGAGCAGGGGAGGTGATGAGAGGGAGCAGGGGAGGTGATGAGAGGGAGTAGGGGAGGTAATGAGAGGGAGCAGGGGAGGTAATGAGAGGGAGCAGGGGAGGTGATGAGAGGGAGCAGGGGAGGTAATGAGAGGGAGCAGGGGAGGTGATGACAGGGAGCAGTGGGGGAAAGGGGAGGGAAATCAGGGGATGGAGAGGGGGAACGAGGGGAAGCAGAGGGGGGAATGATGGGATGGAGAGGGGGGAACGAGGGGGAGCCGAGGGGGAAACAAGGGGTAGGAGTTGGGGGAACAGAGGGGATCAGAAGGGAAAATGATGGGAAGGAGAGGGGGGAACAAGGGGAAGCAGAGGGAGAAATAAGGGGAAGGAGAGGGGGGAACGAGGGGGAGCAGAGGGGGGAAGGAGAGGGCGGAACGAGGGGGAGCAGAGGGGGAAACAAGGGGAAGGAGAGGGGGGAACGAGGGGGAGCAGAGGGGGAAACAAGGGGAAGGAGAGGGGGGAACGAGGGGGACAGAGCAGCAAGTAAGGCCAGCAGAGGGTGAGCGTGAAGCCGGTGACGTGCTAAGAGAGGCGCGCTATGGGTTACACGAGAAGCACTCGCCTGCATAAAACTTGAGAGGAATCGCAGTGCGTGAACGGTGAGGCGCTATGCAGTGTGGCGCTTGGCGATCGCGCGCTTTTTTGTGAGGCGCTTAGCGGTGGGGCGCGCAGCGGGGCATTAGGCAAGTCGCGGGTGACGCGCTAAGAGGGTATCGCGAGCTGCAGGTTTCGCAAGAATATGGCCAGCGAGGAGCACGCATGGAATGCGGCGCGCCTCTTCGAAGGCTATTACTACATCGCGCGCGAGGCCTTAGAACGAGTCTATTCATGAGAGAGGAAGGTGTTTGTAGAAATGCTTATTCAATCATCTCGCGAGCCAGCCTTGTGACACGTGTTCCTTTACCAACAGCGAGTTTCTTAGTAGTACCGCTACTCCTCGGTCCCCTTAGTCGCCTTTTATATTGCCTGTGGGAAGGCATTTCCTAGAAATTAATCGCTTATCCTTCAGTTATGAGTGTCACCCCAGGTGGTGGGTGATGGGAGAGTTCCTCGTGTTCGCAACTAACGGCCTCCCAAACTTTCGCCTACCCTCTCGCCAAGCCTGTTCGTTTTCGTCGGGGTTTGCTTTTGGTGGGTACTGTTCCAAAACCAACAGTACTTTCTGATAAGAAACGAGGAATGAATGCATTTAGCAGAATGAGGAGAACAAGTGGTAAACCCTAAAGTGTTGTACCCCATATGAACTGCCCCACTACAGCCTACACAGACTATAGCATATATGCCTGACACACCCCCATAGGCAAAGTGGGGGAGAACAAGGGGTCACAAAACCAGTCAAGCAAAGCAAAGCAAGCTCAGGGTGGATCACAACGTCACCACACAGTCCGAGCACAAGAGCAAGGCCACAAGGCCAGTTCACATGCAAGATCATATATATAAAGGTAAACAAGCAAGTGCAGGTATAGAAAGAGTACAGTACAAACAAGATCACGAAGTGAGCAAGTGAGGCCAAGTAGGCACAAGACCTAGCATAGCACAGAAGCGCTGATGATCACAAGGCGGAAGGTCCTTGGTGAAGATATCAGCAGTGTTGGACTCAGAGGCCACGTAGGTGAGGCGGAGCTGACCACGTTGCTGCAGCACACGAGCCAGGAAGTAGCGAAGAGCAATGTGCTTCGTTCTATGCTCCAGTCTGTGCTCCCGACACAAGGCCAGCATGGCCTTGTTGTCTACGTACAGAACTGCAGGAGAACGAGGCGGCTCTCCTAGGTCAGTCAGCAGGTAGGTGAGCCAGCGTAGCTCCTGTGCAGCCATGGCCCCCGCGTAGATCTCAGCCTCACAGCTGGAGGTGAGAACAGAAGACGAGCGGGTAGACCGCCACGAAACAGAGCCGGAGCCAAGGCTGAAGGTGTAACCCTGTGACGACCGCTGTGTCGGCTGGTCGTCAGCCCAAGAAGCGTCTGCGTGATCTGTGAGGACCACTCGACGTCGCCCTCCAAGCACTAGCCCCATGCCCGACGTACTGCACACGTAGCGCAACACCCTCTTCGCTGCAGCCATGTGCTGTAGTCGGTGTCTGTCAGGAGCAACATAGCGTGACAAGATGCTAAGAGGGTATGCAAGGTCAGGTCGTGTGCAGGTCATCAGGTACATGAGGCAGCCAACAAGCTCTGGGTACGGGCCACTCGGCTCTACGACTCATCCGAAGGCAGAGCTTAGAGCGAGTGGCGAGTAGACAGAGGAGTGGCCTGAGGCGAGGAGTACGTGAAGCCGAAGCGCTGAAGGACATGCTGCACCATGTGTGACTGAGTCAGGGTAATGGTGCGCTGTGCTCTGTCCCGGGTGATCTGCAAGCCAAGGTAGCTGCGCAGTTCACCCAGGTCAGTGCACGTGTGTCTCTTCTGCAGCTCGGACTTCACGTGGGCGAGTCCAGCAGTGTCAGCAGTGACAAAGACCAAGTCGTCGACGTACACGAGGATGTAGAACGACGGCAAAGAGGTGTCGGTGCGCAGAAACAGCGACGGGTCGGCTGTAGAAGGAGCAAACCCAAAAGCCGCAAGTATGGTCCTCAGTGTGTCGATCCACTCACGGGGCGCCTGGCGGAGACCGTAGACTGGCCGCTGGAGGCTCCACTGGGTACCAGGAGGAAACGACCCAGTGAAGCCAGGTGGGTGGCGCAGCCAGATCTCCTCGTGCAGGCTGCCCTGCAGGAAAGCTGTGCTGAAGTCAAGAGAGTGAAGCTCGTAGTCGCGCTGAGCGGCTATGTGCAGCAGCACCCGAAGAGTGGTCATCTTCGGGGTGGGAGAGAAGGTCTGAAAGTAGTCAACTCCCTGCCGCTGACTGAAGCCTCGAGCCACGTAACGCGCCTTGAAGACAGGCGGAGAACCTGGCGGCCGCTTCACCCTGAAAATCCACATGCCACTGACGATGTTCGCCCCAGGTGGGGGAACCTCGTCGACGTAGGTGCCTATGGACTTCCAGGAAGCCATCTCTGCGTCCATGGCTGACTGCCACTGAGA